CACCGGTCTGCTAGGAAGAGGACTGTATGAGTTCAAGATGCCAGCCGTATCTTCGGTAGCGGTGATTGGCAAGATGCGTACGGGAAACTCGTCCGAAATTGATTTCGAAGTCACTGAGAACGAAGGCTTTTTCTTCGTAGGATTTTGACGGTTTCACTCCGATCTTTCGCCATTTTCCCCACTATACAGCGCCCTGCTAGCATTTTGGGCGGAGTACCAAATCATTGTGCCAATTGCCTTTAACATTGTGGGACCTTCATCGGCAACACTTTCTTCCGTTTTTCCTTCTTTGAATTTTCACATCCATTCTTCCACTTTCCCATCAGAAGACGCCATTCTACACAATTATGGTGTCCAGCACAGGATCAATTTGAGCAGCACGGTTTCCTTTTATGACGCCCGATTCACAATTCTTGGCTGATTCTGACCACACAGGTTTCTTTTCAGTTACTGAGTTTTTCCCGTGGCTCTGCTGTTTAATTTCCTCAGGTACTTAACTAGATGTACCAGTTCTCACACAGTGTAAAAGTACACGGTCCTGGCTCTTTGCTCTTGTAATTCTTCTATTCTCCACCTGTTTGAATGAGATGACCTACGCTGAAAATCCCTGATATGTGGTAGGCGTGGCTGTGGGCTTGCCACGCCTATTGTGAGGGACACGACTGTTCAAACCTGCTAGCTTAGACAAATTAATCTACATCGAAGCCCCTCCACGTCCTTCCACACCTGAAAAAATACTTGCAGTTGCGAAACAATACAACTTGACAGAAATCAGAAACACTCAGACGTCGACTTGAAATGCCGGATTTTTTTCAGCACTGATTGTCATTTGCAGTGTGTGAAATCGTACCCTGGCACTGGACAAAAACATGCTTGCGACCATTTTATTAGTTCATGCAACCTTGGAAAGACCACATGATGATTTCATTTGACCTCCTCCCCCCGCCCTCATGTAATCAAAATAAAGTATTCGGTGTAGTCTAGTCCGCGGTGGACGAGCTGGAGCAGGCATGAGCTTGGCGCGGGCCTGCCAAACCATTTCTCCACCAGTTATAGAGCGGTGAACAAGCTGACAAGATGCACCATTACAGTTCATTATTACTCTTTTCTATTCAATTGTTGTCGGCATACCACTTAAACAACTTGGCAGAGAACGGAGCAAACGGCGCGTTGAGACAATGACACTTGCTTGACACGCCCCTTCATCCGCTGCGAACTAGAGTGTACCTCAATGTGCCATCAGCGGTAAGCCACATCTTTCACTTCCACCTTTCTAACTGAAACAAGGTCGTCATAGCTATCTTTATTTGACAGTACTTACACCATATTACACTGTGAAAGCTATACTTTCGTACACGAATAATGCTACTACTTTACGTATAAAGATAATGAGATCATACAGCATCTAGTTAGGCTGTGCCTGCCCACAGCAACAAAATTTTCTCAAAACACTTGAAGTAACTTGAGAGTCAAGAAGAAAAACCACGCAAAAGTACATGTACACTTACAAATACATGCTGCACACTCACGTGAAAAAGTAACCGGCGGGCCGAATTTGCGACCCAAGGAAGGAATAATCCTGGCCGAGAGTATTATCACCAACAGCTTCTGGAACAACCTGGTCAACCTAAGAAGCCCATAAAAACCAATGTCCAGCGCTAGTCCTCACCGCAGCCTTGTGAAATCTGTTGACTGTCGACAAGTTGTTTTTCATAAAAATGGTTCAGCCAGTTCTCAGAAGCTGGACTTTGCGCGCGCTGTTCGGGGACAGCTGTGAGGAGGGGCGGGGGGGCATTTTGCGAATTGCGTTCCTCGCGGCTACTATGCCCGTTGCAATGTATTACGCTGGTGTCCTGGTGATTCCTGAAGAAAGCTGAAGTGGGGGTCGACCCGTGTCGATGGGATAGAATCAAAGTCCAAAATGCCCTCCATCGCCTTTCCGTCGCCGAAACTAGCCCGCACTGCCGAACTTTTTCTTTCTGAACTTTCTGTGCAACGTTTTGAACCGTTTTGTACGTTTCGAACGACTGCATTTTTCACAGCTTTTATGTGCTTATTTTACATGCTATGAAGGGTTCTTGCGACCCTAGAGGGTCCAGTGCCATGCACTGAACGCAGGACCAATGTAGCAACTTCTTGTATCCTTCCCGTTGAAGCTGACGCTCGAGCTTGTAGGAGCATTCCATGATATCTACACGTATACCCGTTTTGGCGTAGGTTCTCAGAAACGATCCCATTCAACCAGCTTCTTGAGAAAGTCGAAATGGTACACGGTATAGGGAATGTGCACGAGGTTGGCATTGGTCGAACTGGAACCCTGTCTGAATTTTGTTAAGAGGAACGGCTAACTGGTTATACGCTTCCAAAGAGCATCTCCTGGCTTCCGCTTCTCTCTGATAAAGCGCAAAAGCGAAGGGGTTACGGTAAGGCTTTTCTTGTCGACTTGACATTATACTTCAATAACTTGAGAATACTAGGTTGTCCCAAAAGTTCGTGACCATTTTTTGAGTCATATCAGGTCTTTCCAAAGCCATTTCGAGATCCAGTTAAGTGGGCGTTGCTTTGCCGTCCCTCGCAGTCCTTGTTCTCATACCATAACGGTAATTGGAAGTCATCATCCGGCACCCTTCCCTATATCTCCACCAAGCCACAACATGGTTGGAGCTACCCGCGGCATTTCTCTGAGTTAGGTATTGACTGG